TGTTTGGATTTGTTGGTTTAATTATTTAGTTTGTTTCCCTTCAGAGACATTCATTCCATGGGGAATTTAGGAAGAAAAATGCCAACATTTGGTTTTTCTGGCAGATCAGGAAATTGTGTATTCGGACATGTAGAAATTGAGCTCCTGGACATGTAGAAATTGAACTCTCCAGTGCTTTCTGACTCATGTTTCCACTAATTCCTACTTATGTCCTCCTTGTTAATCCTTTGGGATGGAGAGCTTTATTTTTATCCCCAAGTAACCACARGTGTAGTCCAGTTCTTAATAAATCTCCCGACTTCAAGGGAAATATGATAAAGCCACCTACAGGAAATAAATACCAATCTCGAACAAGGTAATGAAGAACTCTGACTTCATCACTGTCAAAACTTGACAGCCTGACTCATRTGTGGGCAGGAGAATTTTCCTGAAACCTTTAGGGACCTTTACTGTTTGTTCTTTGGTAGTCATTATGTGTCTTGGTATATGTGCCCAAATAGAAATCTCAGTTCCTGGCAAAATTGTTTCCCCTGATGTCCTTTAAAGGGTCACAACTTTACTGCCTTGTCTGCAACCAGAGGAAAATGTTGTTCCCTTTTCAAAAGGGATCTTTGTCTACTCTTGTGATTGTGAGGATGTTCCTGCTGAGGTAACTCACGAGCATAAGGGTCACCCTTCAAACCTGCATCTATTGCAGCTGAATCCTCAAAGCTCATTTCTCTTTTCTTTCCTCTTCTAGCTACCTCCCTAGGGCACAGTTCCTCTCTGTGTTCACTCCAAGTTCACAGTCTTATAAAGCAAAAAGAGAATCTGCAAGGCAAAACCTAGCTGATACCTTGTGCTTTTGTTAATTCCTCTCCACTGTTCAGATTACAATACTGCTTGAATCACAGTGAAAATCACTGGAAGATCCCTGCTTTATGGGACTGAGAACTTCCTGGACAATTTTGCACTCTTGTGCAATTTTAATGCAATGTTAGCATGCCTCTGTAGCCCACCTTTGGGTACTTTCTCCCACTACAAATTTACTGTAGAAACTGAGTTGCGCTGCCACTCAGACTGTGATATCAGAGTAGAAACAGTATTTTTTCAGTACTTTATTGAAGACCTTTTTAGTCTTTAATATTCGTTATGTTTTATTCCCTGTAGACTGAAAGTAACAGCCTGTTTTGCATTCTTGTACATGCTCAACACTGAGAGATTTAAACTTGTTCTTTTGATAGAAGTTTTCTTGAAAGAACGTGTGTGTGTGTGAAGTTGTGCCACTTAAGAAGTTGTGGTGAAAGCCTTTGAAGAGGTAGTAGGTAAGGAGCATTCAAATCTAGCTTCTGCTCTCATAAGCACCCGCAGCAACTTCATGGGCTACTTTGGAAACACCCACAGAGGCCATGGACAGGCAGAGAGCTCCACAAGTGACATTGAGACTCTTGTCAGTGAATCCCACAGCTGGGAAGGGATGGAGGTGCTTGGATGGGCTGTGGTCCCATCCAGAGAAGGCATTCACAGGAGGCTGCTCCTTCCAGCTGAAAGGTTGAAGCGTTGTAGGAGGCTGGCTAGACCAAAGCCTAGGCCTAGGTTCAAGTGTCCGTACACTTTAAATCTAGCCTTGCTTATTTGCCAAGCTGAGCTCTTGCAAGGTCTGCTGTTCCCTTCTTTCTYTGTTAGGTTTACTCTGAACCTTGTGGTACTGAGGTCCATCACAGGACTTTGGAMATGCTTGTTGGCTGTTCTGCCTCTGAGTGGCTGAAGTCTCCAACAGGACTTTGTATATTTGATGAAAGAGTGCTGCAGATGTACATACAGCTTGTAAGGTTGTTGAAATGGTCTAAGCAAGGCAAAATACAAAGATGGAAAGAAAAATGGATATTAGTTTTTGGTTGCTTGGCTTTCAGAAATTTCCCTGATGTTGTGCCTTTGTGGTTGATTTGGTGTTCTTGCAATTCCTTTGAGTGCAAATTATTTGATTGTTCTGTCACTCTTTTCTGTTACCTTTAGGTTTTGAAAGGGTGGATTTGTTTAATTGTTGGGTCCAGGGCTTACCATTTAATTTAGCTAATTGTTTAAAAAAGTATGTGATTGGAGTGGGACCAGATGGGTCCAGAGGCAAAAATAAGTGGGTGTAAGAAGGGGATGGCAGTTCTCAAGCAATGAGTTTTTCACTCTAATGTCTGATACCATTTTGCCTGAAACTTTGAGGACAGATATCAGTTTAAATACTTTTTTAGTCTTGTTTTTTTTTTTCCCATATTTAGAGTTATCCCAGCCCTTAACTGTCAAAAGTGGTCTGTACAAAGAAACTGTTGCAAAAATACATGGTACCCTTTTTTCTGCATGTTGATTATACTATGGGGGTGAGCAGTGGAGACTGTACATAATTCCTCTGATATAATTAATCCGTTAGGCAAGGTAAATTCGTATCCCTGTTTCTTTCCCCCTTTCAACAATATATTAGTTGTAGAAGTAGTCAGTTGGTAGTTACCATGTAAAAGTGTCATGGTTTGTATTATGCTGTGCAAGATTAGATTAGCATACAAATTCCATAAAACAAGTAATAGTATTGTTCTAGTACTCWGTTGATGTAGCAAATTATTCTGGGGGCTGCATTTTATAGCTTAGGCATCTGAAGTGGGAGAACATGGGAAAATACATGTTCCATTGTGGTTTCYAGACAGCAGTATAATCAGGGTTTGAGTGAAAACAAAATCAGTCATGGCACAAAATTTTACTGAAAAACTGGGGGCATTTATGGGCTCAGTTGCAGTGCAACTGAAAGTGCAACTTTAACAGGAGATGGGAGAAAAAAGTGTAAAAGAACTGTCCTCCTCCCTCCTCTGTATCCTAAACTCCCTTAACCTTACTCAACATACCTAAACGAGGGTGTAGCTATTCTTTTTTCTTTAACCCTCCTTTTTTCCTACCTGTCAGATAAGTAGTTAAAGAATTTCTTTTGCTGAGGGAAAGCAAATCAGAGGTTATACAAAATTGCACTGAAGCAATTTTCCATAAACTTTGCCTAATGGTTTTCTGTACACCGTTCACTGAACTTTTGACCTCTGCAATGTCATATAACTCCTTTTGCCAATTATGTACTTGGCAGGAAAGTATTTAAATTACATGCATGTTTTTGATGTGAAATCCTAATTTTCTGTGTGATGAGAAAGTAGCCAAGGAACAACTATTTACTCTTTCTCAGCATTAGGCCTAATTTATGGACATCCATTTCTACCCTTTTCCCCATCATTCACCAGCCTAAGAGATCCCACAGTTTTTCCTCATGCAAATGTTTCACACAATTCTGAGCGTTCTCACCAGCTTCCTTTTACACCTCTTTACAATGAACTCTGCACCTTTCCAAATCTGTTTTTCTGGCAGTCACCAGATTTTCACTCAGTGTTAAAAGTGCAGTGAGATTTGGATTTGGTGTTCTAGCTTAAGGTTTTCCGGATTTGTTTTACTGATCGTGATGAATGCTTTGTCTGTCTTCTGGCAGTTGTGGAGTAGAGTCCTGGTGTTTGTTTAAGGACTTAACTACAGTCACTGTTCTGTTCCCAAGTGGAGGTAGATTCTGAGTTATTTTCACAGTGTGCATGYTCATTTGCAGATGTGTTTTTTGCAATACGTGCTGACTTGCATTTTTCAGCCTTAATTTCTTCTGCCTTTCCTATTCCACAGTCATTTACAAAGATTTCATGATTAGTCATTGATGATGATGAAATAGATCATGGTGGTCAGTAGCTTGGTGTAGAAGATGAATGTAACCAGATCTCTTCCAGATCTTCTATGAATGAAGGCTGTGTGCAAAGGGATTGTGTGAAAAGACTTGGAAAATTATGTTGATTTTTAAACATTCATAAGAGTGTAGTTGGCTCTTTCTTTTTTCTTTTTTTTTTTTTTTATTTTCTTTGTTCATTCATGCTTACGTGGTGACCTAAGGCTGACTCATGGCTGGTTGAAATCTAGTGTGTTTTATCTTTTTCTTGATACAGTTTTGGATAGTAAAACATACAGGTTATTCTATAGGTAGGAGGTATTTGGGGAAAGTAGCAGTTCTTAATAGGAAGGAAAACACAGTTTGTCTTTTGCCTCGTTTCCCTTAATGCCATTGCAGCTACTGAAGAACACTGTTTGCTTCTCAAGATTTAAAAGAGAAATTTTGTCTTCCAAGAAACGAAGTTGAGGGATGGTGTCAAGGCTGACTTGGAGGAGCTGGAAGATAGGCACTGAACGAGGCGAAAGAAATGTTTTTTAACTGTTGATTATTGAGCTAGTTGCCAGGGCAACTTAAAAGATAAATTTCTCTTAGAATGTATTAGGATTTTCTGTATGTTGTATGCTTAATACTCTAAAAAAATGTGAAAACTTGTGGTAGGACAGATGCATATCAATACAGGCTGGATACCCCAAGAGAGTTTCCTTGTAAAGCCAATGTACCTGAGAACTGTGGGCATGTAGCATCAACTAAATAACTTACAAAATACTTCAAAACCTAGGAAGAAGTGGATTACTGATTTTGATCCAGATTTCTGAACTAGAAGTACTTGAAAATGTGTGCTGAATTTATAGGATTAGTAAATTCTAGCAGAATTTGAAACAACTTYTTTGTTTATAAATGGTTAAGTAGATGGATGTGCCATCTGAGGGTGCAAGCAGGGTAGTAGTTAATGTGACATAAATCAACTAGGATGAAATTTAATAAAAAAGAAGCCACATTTTTTTTTCTCTGCAAGTGTGAATGCTGTGTGAGCTTCCTCACTCACTTGTCTTTACAGATTCCCTGCTCTGAGACTGGGCAAACAGTGAGCAGAACTGTTCTGTGGCACTGTTGCTCTCTTAAGGAAAAACAGAAAGAAAAACCCAAAAGTGCTACAAATAACACATTTTTATCTTCACTGCTTCATCCAGACTTGTGAAATGGGTTTTACATTCCTTAAACTCTCTGACTTGGTTAATAATGTGTCTTCCAGCACACTAACTTTCTGTTGTGTTTAAACCTTTGCCAGGACGGGAGCAGTTCCACGGCCTTGGGTCTATGTACTGCAGAGGAGCAGCTGCTGTGATCCTCACGTATGATGTGAACAGCCTCCAAAGCCTGACAGAGCTGGAAGAAAGATTCTTGGCACTGACGGACAGTGCAAGTGCTGACTGCATTTTTGCTATTGTTGGAAATAAAGTCGACCTCAGYGATGACTGCGCTTCGCCATCGGATGAAAATAGACCCGAGAAGYCTGTTGCCAGCTGTGGTTCAAAGGTGCGAAAACAAGTCCGCGCAGAGGATGCGATTGCACTCTATAAAAAGATACTGAAATACAAAATGCTAGATGAGAAGGATGTTCCAGCAGCTGAGAAAATGTGTTTTGAGACCAGTGCAAAAACAGGATACAAGGTGGACTACCTCTTTGAAACTGTGTTTGACATGGTAGTCCCCATAATTGTGCGGCAGAAGGCTGAGGGGCCACCGCAAACCGTAGACATCACGGACTACAAGCCAGCCAAAAGGACAAAATCAGGTTGTTGTGCCTGAACCATTTACTTAACATAAGAAAAGGGGAGGGATTTTTCACTCCAGCAAAATGAGGAGTAAGAACTGCTTGCAGTTCACCGGAAAGGAAAAGTCAAGGAACAAATAGACTAAAATGGTGTATGCAAAAAACAAAGAACAAATACATCTTCTGAACATTAAAAACTTCTGGGAAGCTCTGTGTATAAAGARGTGGGAATACAAGTGAAATTATGRAGTAAGACTTGCCAGTTTCAATGGKCTCTGAAGGCAAATGGCRTGTTATTRCAATAGATAGTGACAATCATGTGGACAGTTTTGAAAGCRTCTGATTTTTAGTGACTTGCCATTTCATGTTGCATGTTCATGTTTGTGTACTCTTGACAACTTTCATATGATTATCTTCTTTTCCATTACGATTCTAACTTTGGAAGATTGAACACAGTACCTTTTTATTCTTAAGGAAAAAAAGAAAATCCAGGTATATTTATATTTGTAGCTAATGAACCAATTGCAGTCTTTTTATGTCAGACATGACAGTGTGCGATTCAGAAGCTGAGCTATTAAAATCATTGTGGATACATACTATTCATATGTACGATTTAGAGACTTTTTTAATGTGAATTTTCCTTCCRTAGTGGGCTTCCATGTGTTAACAAGCAGTATCCCAGCTCTTGCTGTTCTAATTGCAAGTTGAGGGAGAAGTTTTTTCTTTCCTTCCATTTTTCTCTTTTAATTCTTTCTAATATAGGTAGGTTTTTGGGGAAGAAATCAATCTTATTTTGTGTGCATTTTTGTAAAAACCTCTTTCTGGTGCCTGTAGGGATACCATTGTGCTCAAGATCTGTGTTCTGTCTCCCTTCCCACTCCTTAGTTGTTCTCAGGCAGAGCTGCAGCTTTGATTTGTATCAGCTATGCATGACATTACTACCTGGAGTAGTAATTACCTCTACCTGGAGGGAAATGAAGACTGGTGTTTKCTGATGTGAAACGGGCTAATGTAGGAGGAAGGGAAGAAACTGCCTTTTGTGGAGTAAAAGGCCCATGAAGGAGCAATAATGAGGTACATGGTTTCTCTCCTGACTGCAGTGAAAAGGAGGGGCTAACACTTAATACAGCTTCTAGAGTTTCCCAGCCCTCTCAGCTACACAGAATGCATGTTGTGATTGAGGATCTCACAATGAACGGAGACCAGAGGGGAGAACTTGTGGTTTTTAAACACACACACACACACACACACACACACACACACACATTCACACACACCCTGAAACCCACCCCGTTCCTCCCGAAACCAACCAACCAATAAACCCTGAAGATGCAGCTTGCATATGTTCAGTTTTGCAAGGTCTTGTATGGGGCCTCTTTCACCTTCCTTTGGATGCCTTTGGTATAGTTTTCTGAAACTATGGGTTGGTGGTTCTTACACTTTGTCATTGCCTCTCTCTGTCCCACCCAAATCACTGTTGTTTCATACAGMGGGAGACAATTCCTAAATAAATAATGAATTAAATTATTGCTAAATATATTTAGAGAATAATTTTTTGGAAGTGTAYCCTCTTGTGCAAATTGCTGTAGAGTAGTAGCTTTATTTTCTGCTTTCAAGTTAATTCATACTACACATGTAGTGGGAAAGAATGGCTTGAGAGGGAAACCACTGAATAGTAAGTAATATAATAATGGATTTGGGTTGGATGGGACCTTCAAGTGTCATCTAGTCCAATCCCCCACACACTGAGCAGGTAGGTCTTCAATTTGATCAGGTTGCTCAGAGCTGTGTCGAATCAAAACTTGAATGTTTATAGGGAGGTGGAATTTACCACTTCTCTGGGCATCCTGTTCCAGTGTTTCACCACTCTCATTGTAAAAATATGTCTTCCTTATATCTAGTCTGTATCCACCCTTTCATGGTTTAAAATCATTACCCCTTTTCCTATTGCTACAGGCCCTACTAAGGGTTGAAATCTTTTGGGTTTGCTAGGGGCATGCAGACACCTACCAGTCTGTCAGTGACTAAACAGCACCTGAGCTGTGGTATTTTAAAATGGATATAATTCAAAACCTTCTAGCAATTAACAAAATTCCAGGGTCCGTATGTAGTGTTCCCTCAGGACTGGGAAGAGACAAACAGGCTACACTCAGTTTTGTTTGTGACCAAGGGGTTCTGCTGACACATCTGTGAGRGGTCCAGTGCTGACTTCCCTGTGTCTGTTGACCACTGAACCTGCAACACACACTCAGTGCAAGGTTGGCTTTTTGGGAGATGCTTGGTAGATGTACATCTACAAGGTACAGAACAGGAAAAATACTTGTAAATTTAACATCCAACATTTCTTCAGGTATAAATATTTGCAATTCAGTTGTACCAGCATTTGATTMCTCTGAGATCTTWWGTAATTCTGTKTTTCWGGCCCTATGCAGGGCCAGATCCCCRCTCCCCCTCAGTGGGGGCAGGTGGTGTCTGTGGTGCCAGTGRTCCCCATGTGCTTACAGGGGCAGCTGCTGCCTGCATTGGGGCACTGTTGGCACATTAGTGACCCCTCAGCCTCTGCCRTGGCAGCAATCTCACACCTTCTGTGCCAAGGCCATGTTTGCTGCRTGCTCTTTGCTAATTTTGTATTTCTGGCAGCTGTGGACAAGCCCAGTCATGTAGGGTGTGAATACTCTGCTCATTTGGTCAATGCACTCTCAGGGAATAATTGGTGTCAACTCACATCACTATGTTGACTTCTCTATATGTGTTGATATACTGCACTATAACCTACAGAATGGGAATACAATCTCATTTATCTTCTCCAGGCTCAGCATGTTATATTTCAGCATGCTTTTTAACAGGGAAGTGTAGGAAGCAAACACTATGCTTTGAAGCAAAGGATTTGGTCAAATCAAGGCAAACATTTGTGGTTTTTTTTCCATGCTAGGCTGGAGCGCTGTGTTTCAATAAAAATACTGTTTTGTTTTGCTGTAGCTGAATTTTTGCTGTATAAAGATGTTTTAGCTTTCTGAAAGTAAGCTTTACAATCAGAACTGCAGAATGGTTTGGGTTGGAAGGGATCTTCAAGATGCATCTAGTTCCAACCTTCTGGCCATGGGCAGGGACACCTGGCACTAGAGCAGGATGCTCAAAGGCCCATCCAGCCTGGCCTTGACCACTCCTGGGGATGGGCTATCCAGAGCTTCCCTGTGCATGCTGCTCCAGTGTCTCACCACCCTCACAGTAACAAATGACCTCCTTCTGTCCAATCTAAACCAACCCTCTTGCAGTTCAACACTGCTGCCCYTGGCCCTGTCACTACAGGTTTTGTTAAGTCTCTGGTAGGTACTTCAAAGCTGCTGGAAGATCTCCCCAGAGTCTTCTCTTTTTCAGCTGAACAGCCCCAACTGTCAGCCAGGCTTCACAGGAGAGAAGGTAAACTTGAACCTAAGAGGCAGTTTGACACATAGTGCTCTGGATTAGCTCACCAGGTGAAATCCTGTGTCTGCTGGGAATGTTCCACGTGTTTGTGTGCACAAGCTCCCTCCACTTCTGAGAGACGCGATTGCGCAGGCTTTGGAGAAGCACAGCTGTGAGTACACACACCTGAAGCACATGACGTACACAAAGTACAGAAGCTCAAGCCTGCTTAGCACTTTGTGGTTTTTGTGGTTGGTCTGGTTTTCCCCCGCACTGTGCCAGCATGTTCCACTTCATGCTGTGCTGGGACCACTCTGAGCACACTTGTTCAGAACAGCTTATTGAGTCAGAGGAAACAAAGAGCCAAAGCAACTCTTGGTGGGAGAACTAAGTGCTAAAGTCCTRTGTGCACAAGAACAAGCTTCAGATTAGGCAATATATTAGCTACGAAAATCCAAATAGTTTGCTGCTATTGTTGACAAAATCGGTTTTTACAGATTTGTGTAACCTTCACTTAAGTTCCCCTAAAACACTGAATGTGCTACATTGCCAGAGTAGCATGCTGTACAACTGACCAGTGATAGCTGTGTGATCATCCCACAACCACTGATGTCTAGCAATATGGAAGAGGTGAGTTGTCTATTCTTGGATATTTGTTACTGCCACATTTAATTTAAGAGGACTGGCAAATATGGAATAGATTTAGCTCATGTTGACTGCAATGTTTTCAGTACTAAGTTTTATTTAGCTGAAAAAAAATAATACTGTGATAAGTTTATTCAGGGGCTGCATTTCAGAGCTACAGCACAGCCAAAGAGTTCATTTAAAACTCAGGTAATTTCTCTGTTTATGGACCTATCTAATTATGTGAGCAACTAATCTAGGTTAGTGTGCTGGGTAAGTACCTGAAGAGAACCTGCAAGAAAGATGGAGAGAGACTTTTTACAAAAACATGTAGTGGCAGGACAAAGGGAAATGGCTTCAAATTGAAAGTTAGATATTGAGAAAAAATAGAGGTATAGATTAGATATTGAGAAAAATGCTTTACTGTGAAGGGTGTGAGGCCCTGGAACAGGTTATCCAGGGAAGCTGTGGAGGCCCCATCCCTGGAAGTGTTTAAGGCCAAGCTGGATGGGGCTCTGAGCAACCCAGTCTAGTGAAAAGTGTCTCTGTTCATGGCAAGGGGTTGTAACGAGATAATTTTTATGGTCCCTTCCAATCCAAACCTATTCTATGGTTCTAGTACTTTAACTTAATTTATACATTATATTTTTTTGTGGAGGTAACACTTGTCAAGTTTGGTAAAYGTTGGTTTCCTGAACATTGCAGAGCATGAATAATAGATTGTTTTAATCTGCAATGTCACAATTTATTTGCTTTAATCATTCTAAAGCAGATTAAATACTATTTTAGTTGTTCAGCTTCCCTCTTGGATCTTTTTAAGTGCCCTAAGTGTAAATATGTAAATAAATAAGTGTATTCTGCTTGAAGAGTTTGAGTTTCAGTGGGAGGAATTTTCTGGGAGTGCTTTTCTAATTCCTTAGTGCAAACAAAATATTTCAACAGAGAGGTCCATATGCATTGTATGGAAAAACATCGTTTGCAAAATAGAAATCATCAGCAAATAGGGATGTAGAAAAAAACAGGTTTTATTTATGATACAGTGACTTTGGAATGTAATAATAAAAGCCAAGAAGCACCTGAAGCAGGAGTGAGGTGAGTTACTGAAAAATCAACTGTCATTGCTATAAAAGTTAATCAGATTATGCAAATAAGAAATCTGTAGCTGATCTTTTTTTCCTTCCTCTCTTGCAGTGGTGACAGACAACTTTGGGCTAAATTGCTTCTTTCTACAGAAGGAAAGAGCTTGCCATTCTGGCCTTTTCTRTGGGAAAAGACGGTGCCAAATAAATGCCTTGCTTCCCTCCCCTTTGCTTTTACAAGGATGACTGTGTGCAAATTGGGATGGTGGCCATCCCATTGCCACATGTCCCTAAKTGCCAGGAAAGCCTGACTCCAGCGAGCCAGCTGGCAGGGCTGCAAGTACTGTTTGAAGGTCATGTGGCATCAAGCAACGTGTCCTCCTGCAAACCCTGCCCCGTGTGCAACAGCTGCTCCAACASGACGTGGCTAAAACCTTGTTTGTGATGAGTGGCTTGATTTCAGAGGGGAAAAGGTGCAATGCAAAAACCAATTGCTGCTGGTACAGTGTGGGTGGTGTGACATAGATGAAATGTCCACAGCGTGGTGGAGCAAGGAATCTTTGGCCTGGGGTATGTGTAGGAAAAACCCCATCAAACTCATAAAATAAAATGCTGGTCTTCATCGTATAGGCGTCTAGCCAAAATGAAAAAGTTGCATTTTGTAATTACTCCTTTTGGGAGCCTGTGGGCTTTGTTATTGGCAGTGGTTAATTGCTAAAGCATGGTGAGGCTTGGAAAAAAACAACCAAAACCAAAAATTGGGTGTATTTGAAATGCCCAAGTACAAAATATTAAAATTTAAGTTAGGTATCAATGCTGGACATAAACATTTTGGATCGTGGTATATTTTCAGTATTTTGCAAGGATTTAGGACTTAGATCACGCTGTGTTAATTTATGGAACTGCAGCTGTTAGTGTTTGCTCTTGTGACAAATACAGTATATAGAAAGATACATATATTCTCTTCAAGTAACTGTGGTGGGTGTCTGACCAAGGCATCCTCTTATTACTGAAGTTTTTTTGGTGTTTCAAAGCTGCAAGTATTTCTATCATTTGGCAAATGATGTATTACTAGACTAGCCAAAAAATGTGTATATATAGTGCATAGTGGGAGAACACAGCACTAGATCTGTTAGACTTAATTTGTGTTATACTTAATTTGCTTTTACARACATTTTAAAAAATTAATTTCCATTTAGCTTTTGAGGTAATAAGTTAAAAAAAGCACCAACATGATTTATTCAATTGTCTAGCCACCACAGAAGGCTCTGCTGTGTAAAAACTGCACGATAAGGCAGTTCCTTACACTGTGAGAGACTTCTATAAGTTTTTCATACAGACTTGACATCTGCTGATATGGCTTCGGATGAGTCCTGCCTTGAGCGTGTCTCCCGAGGGTTTGCTTTCGAAGGGTTGGTCGATGGTGGTGAGCCAGAAGCTGTATTTGTTGGCAAAGTAGTGACAGGTTCCGCGKGCGCCGTTGCATTCGATGAAAGGAGTGGCCCTGAAGTCTTCCAGGCAGCTSCCAGGAGAAACCAGCGACTGTCCCCCGCCTTCATCACCAGCAGCAGTGTGCTAAGGGAGACAAGGAGGGCAGCGTTCAGACTGCAGCCTCAGGCAGTGCTGTCACAAACTGCATGTGTGARAAGAGAAAACCCACTAGAATTGCTCTTCATTCTTATCTCCAGAACAGAAAGCCAGCCAGTCCTACAGCTGTGTAAGGGTTTGGCCATGCTATAACTCTGTAAAGCAGCTAGCCCATGTGCTGATGCCACTTCAAAATCTCCAAACAAGTATCTTTTCTATAGTTAAGTTTTTCATTGCTGAAATCTTAGAATTGGAGAATCATTTAGGTGGAAGGGCCCACTGGAGGTCACTTCAGCCAGTCCCCTGCTCAAAGCAGGGCTGACACCAAAGTTGCCCTCAGCTGCTCCAAGGCACTGTTGAATTGGTAATACCTCCAAGGATGGACTTTCCACACCTTTGAGCAACTTGCTCCTCTGTTTTATTACCCTCACTAAGAACAACCTTCCACCATACATCTRACTTGAATTTCCCAAATTAAAAAGTCTGTCTTACTCTGCATTGCACAGGAGGAACACTGTGGAAACAAAATCAGCATCTACACAATAGTTCCCTCTATGACATGTTTTTTTTTTTTTGACAGCAAATTACACCAAAATCATGCATCTTTACACCACTCAACTGCTGCCTTTGACAGGTTCTGTAATAATGAACTATGTGTTACTTCTGTCAGACAATACTAACAAAATGGGCATTTTCTCTGTCCCTTTAAGAGCTGTACCACTGTATTTTTAAGTGATCCTGTTGAATCTTCTGTTAGAAACAGAAAGAATTTGCAATGTAAAAGAAAGCTGATGGAAAATAGAGTTCTTAAATAGTTTTGTGAATGTAAGGAATGTAAGAAGCAGCATAAATTACTACTTTTTGAGRCCTCTGCAGTTGGAGCTGGAAAGCAGATTGTAAAAACTGCTGATGCTATTTGGGCCCTGGCTTGGGAGCAGCCCTGCTTGGCAGSCTCAGGATGAACACTGGCATTCCATGCTTGGTGTACCAGCTCCAACTCTATGCCTATAACATCTCTTCAGGTATTGACTATGGCTTTTATCCTTCTGCAATGCTTGTTCTACTCACATAGGATGTATGATAGCAGAGTGCCCTTGCTACATGAAATCTGACTTCTGAGGCTGTTTGGGCAGTTTGTGCTGACTGGGGATTKTACCTTACTTGGGAAAGAGGTGACAAATTTAAGCCAAGGAATTAAAACAGTATGTACTCTGAGAAAACCACAAGTGTGCTCTACTTCTTCCACAGTTGCCTGAGAAGCAAAATGCGTACACCAAACACTTAAAAAAAATCCTGCTAGCTGGGAAAAACGGGAATTCTTCTCACTATGTGTTCCAAAGTGCTGACAGACTTCGTCCTGACAAAAAGTTCTTGCTAGGGTGACAACTTTGCTCTTAACAATGCTCAGTGTTTACATGGGGCTTTGCAAATATTTAATTAATTCTTGGCATTCTTGTGAAGTAACCATGAGATTAGTATCAGGGCTTTTTATAGAAGCAAAAGGAAGGTCAAATACAGGGATGGTGAAAAGTTTGATCTGCTCTCTCAAAGTGTGTTGGGTTTTTGGTTGTGGTTTTTTTTTTTGTAACTAATTTCAGATTTCACTTTATCTTATTTTCTGAAAAATTTAAGGCAGGGTCCTTCAATAGGTCTTCGCTGCACACCCAGCACTGTTTTTCTGTAACATCCCATTTCCTAATTAAAAGATCACAATATTGAAGAGTTCCTGTAAGCCATGGGCTGTACAGCTGAGATCTTATTGCTGTTAGAGATACAACACTGAAACTTAATTTAAAAACAACCAGAGGGTCTCWCTCTTTCCAGAATAAGTGAAAGACTTTGGCTTCAAAATCTTTGACCAAACACCAGTGATTTTTAAATTTTGAAAAGAAGGGGAAAGTGTGTTGTTGCTTTTCCTTTTTTCTTTCCCTAGATCAGCTTCTTAGTAGTGATGTAAGTAACTCCAAATCTTTAGCTACAAAAATGCTTTTTATGCTACTGTTGCACCTCAGTGTAATTTTGTTAAGTCACAGGTGTCCCTTTGTTGTGTTCTGAAGCACTATTTTGTACATAAAGTAAGGTCTCCAGATGCTACTCTGACAAGAGACAATTTTCTCTGAAATTCACAGAAATTTTCACCTTTCTCTTCTTCTTCCTAGAAATTACTTTTGTAGTTCCCTGGTTCCCCAGTATGATGCATGGTTTTGGTGCTGCTGGCTCTAAAGCAGAACAGCCTTCCTAGTACCTAACATCAAATTTCAAACCCACTGCTGCACAAAATGTGACACTGGAGACCAAATACCATAAGGAAGGAATATCCGATCCACAAACTGCGCCAGCCTTCAGGGCAGCGAGGAATAGAAGCTTCTTGGCTGTGGACAGCAATTGCCACAGCTGGGGCCTCACAAACTGAGCAGCGGCTGATGTATGGCTTAATGTCCTCTTCTGCCACGGGCATCATGGGAAGAGGTGCTGTCGTGGAGAGCCAGTAGGATTTATCATTTCGACTTGCATAATAACAAATATCCCCAGGGTTACAGTAGAGGAATGGCATGGTGCTAAAACGAGACAAACATGAGCCAGCCAGCCCTGGTAAAAAGGAAAAAGAAAAAGCAGTCATTCTCACAGAAGACAATATTTTCAGTTTCCAGCTCTTTCCCAAGCACCTGTCAGGAAAACCCTGGAGTCCAGCATGTTTTACTGGATTTACAGGTTCCCTTGAACAACACTAAKGATTTTCAGGAGCTCTCTTGGGGGCACTCATGAAGACATGCAGTTTTTATATTCTCATTTTTGTGCTTCCTAAGTTTGTTTGCTGTCGTCCCAGCTTTTGGAACCGAGGCTGCTGTCAGCTCTACTTGTACATACCTAGATCCTGGTTGTGTGCTTTCTCTTGCCCTTCAAAATACAGTAGGCTGTATCCACTCCAGAGTTTGTTCATGCCAACTGGGCACATTGGCTCTTGGTCGGACTGGCTGTGCTTCACCAGCAGGTAGCCCATGCTGACACTGCGACCTGGCATGCCTGGTGGCCCAGGGCTACCGGGGCGGCCTGGCTGACCTTACAGGAGGGCAGAAAAGAGAGAATACAATTGACTTTGTGCTCCTACAGATGATCTGGTGCTAGCTGACATTCTAGCTATGTTGCTGATGAACAGTTTAATTGCATGATGCCTTTTCTTATGGTATGTTATTRTTAAAAGAGCTGCAATTCTAGGATTGTAACAGTTGCTTTTGAAGTAGATTGGTGCTGGATCAGGATCCCCCGTTTCTAAGATAATGTATTTGCCATCAGAGCTATGGAAAGTCAAAAATAAAATTCTGATTAATTTGAGCATACTTTGTACAATACAAATGAGCATATTTTTCCTTTAAAATATTTCCGTAGCCCAAGATTAACCAATGCTTGTTGGACTTCTTGCATCTGACTCATGTACTTGAAACTATGCTCTGCAAATACTTTTTTCTTTGTGTGCTTAGCTAACTGAGATGGAAACAGTTCTGCTCTTTGATTTTATAAGGACTTATGCATTTCTTTCACAAATAGCTTCCCTTAAACTTCTCTATCCAAATATCACCTACCCAGCCATTGATCTCCATGAACATAACTGTTAGTTACACACTAGGCTGAAAATGCTTAAAGAGAATATAAAATTACTGAGATCAAAACAAACTCGAGAGTGGACTGACAGATCTCAAAATTTATTCTGAAAATATTGCTKTATGGTAACTGTTAACAGTTAGTCAGTTGTCCTTTGTGAAGTATCTATGAAGACAAACTCTCCTCCCCTCCCTTCTACTCCCCTCCCTTACGCTCTCCTTCCTCCCTGCTCCCTCCTCTCACCTCCTCCTCTCTCTCCTTTCCTTCCAGTACAGAGCAATTTATTGCAGAGAAATGGGAAAGAGGGAAGAAGTGCTGTGTGAGATCTCTTACCTTCAGATCCCACTGGGCCCTGAAATCCCATTCCTCCTTGTTCCCCTCTGGCGCCAGGAGGAGCTGGAATGCCACCCCTGCCYTGGAGTCCTGGCTCTCCGGGTGATCCTCTGAAACCTTACACAACAATKTTTGTAAGCACAGTGACTGCAGACATATCAACATGTTATATTCGCCCTTTGCTCTACTTGTGCACATTTGGTCCTTTCTGCCAGGTTACTAATTTACACTGAAGGCAAGATCCTATGGTACTTGCTCAGGCAAAAAGCACTAAGTTTGTTGGAAAAGGTTGCTGGGATCAAGACTACATGAGTCCCACAACCCTAATTCACTCTTGGTACCACTCATCTCTGATGAGGCTCCCAGCAAAAGGTGCACTGCATCAGGTCCACACATCACTAATGCTACGTTATTCCCTGGGTTTTCAGCATTCCCATAAGGATGTGCACTTTTCCACCAAAGACATTCAGTCTTGATTTGTGTCAGATCCGTATCTGATGTTGCTTTGGCTATGAAAGCGTTGCCAAAGTTTTCTCCTGTTTTGCTTTTGTTCTGAATGCTAGGAGGAGGAAAGCTCAAGCCGCAGCTTTGGAAAACCAAAAATTGACTCTCCTTTCTGGCTTACAGAATTTTCAGTAGAAGAGCATCAAAGCAGCGCTGCGGTGGCCTCACTCTGCTAAGGGGAACAACTTTCAGTCTGAATGTGCGATTCTTACCTGGATCTCCTGGKGGGCCTGGAAGTCCTGTATCTCCTGGGCTTCCCCGAGGTCCTATATTTCCACGGGGACCTGGTGAACCTGGCTCAGCAACCAGCCTTGGAGGAAGAGGGGGCAGCCCAGGAGAGCCTGGAGGTCCCTGGAAGCCTGTCATTAGAAGCAAAATGAAATAGTTTGATAAAAAAAAACAAAAAAACAACCAAAACCCAACCACCCTGTATTTTTCCTTACTGTACTTTCATCCAGAGATATATTGCTCTTACTTGGCTGCATTTGTATGAGAGGGTCTATGGTCTGCAACTCACCAGCTTGGGTATGGCAGCTGTATTATACTGGGGAAATATGTGTGGGTATGGGATAGCCAAGATGAGACCATCTCCAAGCATGGGATCGTCTCCAAGGGATTGTCTTCACTTGGGCAGTACATGGATAAGCAGAAGGAAATGAATGATGCTACTGCTCCCCTATTTATGACCCAGGAAGCTGGGAAGATCCCCCAAACAGCTGACAGCTCTCTGAGGTGAAGCACCATCTTTTGGTGTGCTTCGAAGAGACACAAATACATGATGGTATAGATAGATTGATGGATTTTGAAGCTCTGCTATGTCTGCTCAGGAGGATTAATTTGGACAAGAAATCTTACTTTTTTTTTTAATGCTAAAAGTGGCTCTGATTTTGGAGTTGGAACCTCATAAAAATTAAATATATAAAGGCAAAAAATTGACTACTCATGTTAAATTCAGGCATTTGTCCACTGGAATTTGCCAGGATTCACACAGTCGTGCAGGATGGAGGACTCTGGAGCTCACCCAGCCCAACCTCCTGGTCAAAGCAGGGCCAGCTGGATGAGCTCTGTGGAGAATGAGTGGTTTAGAAAGGAGTCACACATCTGACTGCACTTACCAGTYACTCCTCTATCTCCCTTGGGTCCGATAGGTCCCAAATCACCTGGAAATCCTACWGTGCCCATAAAGCCRATGACACCTTGTTCACCTTTACGACCTTTAAAGCAAAATRACAAGCGGCATKATTTCATTTCAGTGCAAATCAAGTGAGTGCAAAAGTCATGCTATTAAAGCTGCTGTAGCATAGAAGGCTCCCCTGCTTCCTGCCAAGGTCAGCATTTCCCATCCTTACCTTTTGGTCCAGGGAATCCGGGAAGGCCAGGACTTCCTGCTGATCCAGGATCACCTCTACTTCCTTTTGGGCCAATTTCTCCAGTCCTRCCTGCCTGTCCACTTTCTCCTTTGCTTCCTGGTGGAGCAGGTATTCCAGGCTGCCCCTGTGGTCCTGGATAGCCTGTTTAGARGACATACAGGTTGTAATCTGTTTGTACTTAACACCTGGGCACAAAGGAAAAGAATAGAACCATATCCCATCAGGTTCTATTTTCTTAATTTAAGCAGGGAGCAACAGCAGACTTATTTCAGCACTCCTGCTCTCAGGCTGGCATAGCCTTCTGCAGTGGTGGCAGAGGAATTAGAGCATGAAGCTCCCACAAAACTCAGTGTTATCTTGAGCAAGATTTCAGCAGAAATAGAGTACCTGCTGAGATACATCCCTTCAATGAACTATTCCTTCCCCACTTCACTAGGTGCCTCCTTGCTTCYTCCTAAACTTCCCAAGTAGCTACAGAGAAATCAGAGAGCAGCAAGTACCTGACTCAGAGCCAARGACTCACTGTTTTGTGTATCTTATGCTTCAGTTGAACATCTGGAACCAAGTAAGTACTTCATGCTGTCTTGGGAATTATGGGAACAGCTTCCTTTTCTAGAATTGCATAGTGCCTTGAAGCTAAACCTGGCACGTTTGTCTTCTGTTACCTCTGCTACTTACAAGACATTTGGACCTTGCTTCTGAGGAGAGTGACTTACAAACTACAGTTTTGAGTGGGGCATCTCTTGTGCTRCCTTTTGAAGCTGGATCACATGTGGATATGAATGCAAGAGGTATGTGGCAAAGTGGGAGTGAGCCAYGCTTGTCTCACTGTTTTGGCTGGGATATGGTGTTTCTGTTTCCACTCTCCTGACTGCTTGGAGAGTTGGAATCAGTACRCAGAGTCAGGCCAACGACCATTCCCTTTCCACTTGGAAACCTAGATATTTTGTTGGTTTTCCACTGGTTTGCCTGTTCTGAGTTTTTGCTGAGTCTACAAAAAAATTTCCATCCATCATATAAAGATGTCAGTGGAACAACTTCTGCTGCAARCTCTTCACAGTGGCACCACAGTCTGAAATGATTGTGCAGTCCAATAAGCAACAGGTATTTTTAAGAGGGAAGAGCTAATGCTTTCCAATGTAATTTGGATTGCATGGTCATTTCACATAGAGGAATTTTGTAAATGATTAAGACAATATTCCATAGACTTGCAAATCTGCCCCTCRCCTCAGATTTTAGAGTAGTAGATTAGCACAATGCTTCTGAAAGTCGTTGAGAGAATTTTGGATCATTAAATCTGTTATTTCCAGGAAAATCAAAGTCTTCCATCAGGACAACCTRGAGGAGCTGCCTTTTGCTTTCAAGAGGTCTGTCTCTGTTATCTGATGTACCATTAGTTCTGTCCAACTATTTTAGTGCTGTGTCTAATARGGTTACTTTACTGAAACAAGACAGAAATAACAGTGACTGCTGTTGCATGAATTACCTGGCACTCCATCTAG